GGGACGTTGATGTGGGGACACGAGGGGACGTGGGGTGATGGTGGGGACGTGGGGACACTGGGACATGGGGACACTGATGTGGGGACATGAGGGCACATGGGGTGATGGGGACATGGGGACATGGACACGTGGTGGGATGGGGCTCATGGGGACACTGGGACATGGGGACACTGGGACATGGGGACGTGGACACATGGTGGGATGAAGCTCATGGGGACATGGACATGGGGACACTGATGTGGGGACATGAGGGGACATGGGGTGATGGGGACACTGGGACATGGGGTGATGAGGACATGGGGACACTGGGACATGGGGACGTGGGGACACGGTGGGATGGAGCTCATGGGGACGTTGATGTGGGGACACGAGGGGACGTGGGGTGATGGGGGGGACGTGGGGACACTGGGACATGGGGACGTGGGGACACGGTGGGATGGAGCTCATGGGGACGTTGATGTGGGGACACGAGGGGACGTGGGGTGATGGGGGGGACGTGGGGACACTGGGACATGGGGACGTGGGGACACGGTGGGATGGAGCTCATGGGGACGTTGATGTGGGGACACGAGGGGACGTGGGGTGATGGGGGGGACGTGGGGACACTGGGACATGGGGACGTGGGGACACGGTGGGATGGAGCTCATGGGGACGTTGATGTGGGGACACGAGGGGACGTGGGGTGATGGGGGGGACGTGGGGACACTGGGACATGGGGACGTGGGGACACGGTGGGATGGAGCTCATGGGGACGTTGATGTGGGGACACGAGGGGACGTGGGGTGATGGGGGGGACGTGGGGACACTGGGACATGGGGACGTGGGGACACGGTGGGATGGAGCTCATGGGGACGTTGATGTGGGGACACGAGGGGACGTGGGGTGATGGGGGGGACGTGGGGACACTGGGACATGGGGACGTGGGGACACGGTGGGATGGAGCTCATGGGGACGTTGATGTGGGGACACGAGGGGACGTGGGGTGATGGGGGGGACGTGGGGACACTGGGACATGGGGACGTGGGGACACGGTGGGATGGAGCTCATGGGGACGTTGATGTGGGGACACGAGGGGACGTGGGGTGATGGGGGGGACGTGGGGACACTGGGACATGGGGACGTGGGGACACGGTGGGATGGAGCTCATGGGGACGTTGATGTGGGGACACGAGGGGACGTGGGGTGATGGGGGGGACGTGGGGACACTGGGACATGGGGACGTGGGGACACGGTGGGATGGAGCTCATGGGGACGTTGATGTGGGGACACGAGGGGACGTGGGGTGATGGGGGGGACGTGGGGACACTGGGACATGGGGACGTGGGGACACGGTGGGATGGAGCTCATGGGGACGTTGATGTGGGGACACGAGGGGACGTGGGGTGATGGGGGGGACGTGGGGACACTGGGACATGGGGACGTGGGGACACGGTGGGATGGAGCTCATGGGGACGTTGATGTGGGGACACGAGGGGACGTGGGGTGATGGGGGGGACGTGGGGACACTGGGACATGGGGACGTGGGGACACGGTGGGATGGAGCTCATGGGGACGTTGATGTGGGGACACGAGGGGACGTGGGGTGATGGGGGGGACGTGGGGACACTGGGACATGGGGACGTGGGGACACGGTGGGATGGAGCTCATGGGGACGTTGATGTGGGGACACGAGGGGACGTGGGGTGATGGGGGGGACGTGGGGACACTGGGACATGGGGACGTGGGGACACGGTGGGATGGAGCTCATGGGGACGTTGATGTGGGGACACGAGGGGACGTGGGGTGATGGGGGGGACGTGGGGACACTGGGACATGGGGACGTGGGGACACGGTGGGATGGAGCTCATGGGGACGTTGATGTGGGGACACGAGGGGACGTGGGGTGATGGGGGGGACGTGGGGACACTGGGACATGGGGACGTGGGGACACGGTGGGATGGAGCTCATGGGGACGTTGATGTGGGGACACGAGGGGACGTGGGGTGATGGGGGGGACGTGGGGACACTGGGACATGGGGACGTGGGGACACGGTGGGATGGAGCTCATGGGGACGTTGATGTGGGGACACGAGGGGACGTGGGGTGATGGGGGGGACGTGGGGACACTGGGACATGGGGACGTGGGGACACGGTGGGATGGAGCTCATGGGGACGTTGATGTGGGGACACGAGGGGACGTGGGGTGATGGGGGGGACGTGGGGACACTGGGACATGGGGACGTGGGGACACGGTGGGATG